TTGGGCTTAGCTTCTGAGGTTAATAATTAGGAAGGTTTGAAAACCAAGGTGGTCAATTTAAAATASCTCATTGTGAGCTCTAGCAAAATGTCATAAATCCCCAGATTTCCAGACTTGAGTTGTGACAACTAGTTTGTTGTTTTAACTGTGGTTTGAATTACATAAGTAAYAAACAACCAGTATATGCATCAAAGAGTGAAGATTAAAGTCACACTTTTGATGTAAATTGGTCACAACAGAATATGACTTTGTCAATGGGCTTATCCATAGAGTGTGGTAACACATGACACATCCTATGTGTCACAGTCTACAAATAAAAAGCTTTTGAGTTATTTTTTTAAACCTCTCCCCTTCCTTTTTTTCCTGAACACTTACAATATATTTTTACCTATGTCTATGTTTTGTCTAACCCACCACCAGAGTATAAGCTTCAAAAAATCTGTAAATCTCTCCAATTCTGTTTCTTTTATTTTTCTGCCTTTTTTCCTTTATTTTCTTCCTTCCTGTTTTTTTTTTTTCTTTTTGGTAGTGGTGGTACTGAGTATTGAATTCAAATTGTCACAAAGGGTAAGCAATGAGCTATATTCCCAAACATTTCTTTATACAGCATCTGCTAAGTTGCCCAGACTGGCCTCAGACTATTGTCCTCCTGCCACAGGTAACCTGGTCATTAGCATTAGAGATGTGTATCACCCTGCTGGCAAAAGTAACATCTAATCTGCTTAGATTAAATTCAAGCATCCAGCATGTGAAACAATGCATGTAACACAGTAGGTGCTCAATAAAGAACTGCATGTTGCTGGGCTTAGCTTTAGCGTGTGTTCTTAGGGTGAGATGGCAACCGCCCACCTATAATCTGATTCAGGGGAGTAAGGCAGAGAATGGCAAGTTCAAGCCCAGTCTTGGAGAATAAGGGAAACCTGCCTCAAATTTAAAAAATGCATACGGAAGTAAACATATACAAGAAAGGGAATGTAGCTAAGTGGTGGAGCACTTCTGGGTTCAGTCTCTACTATAAATAAATAAATAAATGAGAAAAGAGAGAAACAAAAAGGAAAGGGGTACAGCTCAGTGGAAGAAACTTTATGTAGCATGTGAGTATGAAGCCCTAAATTCAATCACCAGTATTGCAAAAATAGATTAATTCAAGATAGAACAACTTACATAGCAACTGAAAAGGCTCACATCTTCTCCCCCATACATACTGCAATATGAATTTTAAACGGCATTTATTTCCCATATAGAAAAGAATTTCTGTGTCTTGATGAGAGGGCAAAGAATTAAAACAAAATAATAAGCCATTTTCAATTGAGCTTAATTTTAGATTTTTTTATTTTTTATTTGATGGTGCATGGTTTTAATCCCAGTGACTCTGGAGGCTGAGACAGGAGGATTTCAAGTTCTAGGTCAGCCTCAGCAACTTAGTGAGACTGTCTTAAAATAAAAATTTAAAAAGGTCTGTAGATGGATGTAGCTCAGTGGTAGAGCTCTTGATTAACAGGTGTAAGGCCCTGGGTGTGCCCAGCTCTGAAGAAAGAAAAAGAAAAAGAAAGAAAATGCTTATTCATGAGTTTTTTTTTTTTTCAGGAAACTTTAGCAGAGTGCTTTTATAAACTTAGAAGTGTTATTGGAAGTAAGAATGAGTCATTTGTTATACAAAGTAAAATATTACTATCATTTTTTGTAGTAAATAGTCACATAAATCTCTGGTAGAACAATGTATTTGAGGTCAGACCATTACATGCAATTTCTAAACAATTCAAAGTTAAGTTCTTATTTTCTTTTTGTTGTGCCAAAATGGATAGGTATAGTATATGGCATTGTCTTTCTATTATTGCTATAATATATTTAGAGGAAAGTAGTTGAATTATTAAATCAATATTTTAGGTAGAGCTTCTGAGAGACTTYTTTCAAGGAGAAAGAAACTGTGGATATATCATTCAGTTATTATCACAAACAGTCTTATTTTCCACTTCTGTTTGCATTTTCATCTATATGAGTATCCCARATATTTTCCTGATAGCTGTATCTATACAATGATCTTACATTGTCATTAATCATGTCCTGAAGTCATCCCCCCMCCTTTGTTTTAATTGGCTAAAACCTATTCCCACATTCTGCCTTCCCACTGTCTTCAAACAGACAGGCAGAAAAATACTTCTCCATCTACCTATTTCAGAGGTTTTACTATTCAAATTTTTTTGGCTAAAAATATTGGAGCTTTATTTTCCTTTGCTGTATTATTAAATAGAGCTGATTGTTGCTAAGCTTTTAAAAAATATTTATATTTTTAGTTGTAGTTGGACACAATACCTTTATTTTATTTATTTTTATGTGGTGCTGAGGATCAAACCCAGGGCCTCGAATATGCTAGGCGAGAGCTCTACTGCTAAGCCACAACCTCAGCCCTGTTGCTAAGCTTTATTTGATGTTGTTATTTGAAATGTTATTCTTACTATCAATTCCATTCCCAACCTTCAATTTAATCACTTACTTGCTAAATTATTTGAAAAGATTCTTTGTCTTACTTTACTCTATTTGGCCCTACATGTATTTTTTAAAAATATTTTTGTTTAAAAGAAGTAACTTCAGTTTGAGGGGAAGTTATTTTGATTTTATTACTACTAAATGTGATATATGGAAACATATTGTATCACATAAATATGTACAATTACTTTTTTTGAAAATTAAAAAAAATGAAATGCCATTTTACTCCTTATATAGGCCTCACAAAGGTTCTCACATTAATTTTAGATTTTTTTATCGCTATCAGTGTCTTTTGTAATATAAATATATCATAATCATTAATTCACTTACCCATTTTTAATGTTCAATCTTTAAAAACATTTTGTTCAATTTATTTTTAATTGAAATATAAACACAAGTTGTATATATTAGTGTATCTAACATTTTTTAAAAAATATTTTTTAGTTGTTGATGTAACTTTATTTTTTATTTATTTATATGTGGTACTGAGAATCCARCCCAATGCTCACACATCCAGGCAAGAGCTCTACCACTGAGCCACAATCCCAGCCCCAGTATCCAAGCGTTTAATTTAAGTTTTGCTAGGTATCTTAGTAGGAAAAATAAATATTAAGCTGCATACTACAAAGTCTGTACATGTAAAAATGTATACCTTAATGACAAACATAGGCAGACAAACATATAATCACAGTGTTTTATAATATCATGAAATCAAAGGAAAGGAGAAACCACCAAATCTAATTTTTCACTGTTCCTAACTCTCAGTCTTTCACTTCAACAAGTTTCTTATGAAAATTAATCATACCTTTTAGACTTTATTGAAAAAATACATTTGATACTTCATTTATTTTTTCTTGCCCAAATACCTTATGCCTCAACCTCCAGAGTTGCTGGGATTATAGGTGTGCACCCCCACACCTGGCCTGTTTTTTTTTTAATACTTTAATTTTAGTTAGTTATTTTTAATGTGGTTTTGATTTAATCACTACTAAAGATGTTGAGGATCGAACACAATTCCTCATACATGCTAGGCAACCGCTCTACTACTATGTCACAACCCTAGCCCATGGCCTGTTGTTTTTAAACTATCTGGCCAGATTAGAATGGCTAGATAGATTTATTATTACTATTATTTTTTGTGGTGCTGGGGATTGAACCCAGAGCTTCATGCATGTGAGGCAAGCACTCTCTCACTGAGCCACATCCCAGCCCCTAGATTTAAAATTTTAAAGGAAATTTTTTGGAGGATTTTAGAAAACTCTGACTTTACTTCTTAACACAATTTTGTACCTTGGATTTACCATATAATGCATTTGTAAGCATAGAGACAACGGATTAATTTGTTGTGAAAAGATCTTGTTATTTGCAAGCATTTGTTATTTTCTTCAGAGATGTAATTGTTGAAAAAGCAGATTCTGCAGGTCAATCTGTTATGCTCCTTCTATGGAAGGCAATCTGAAGAGATGTATGTCTTCCAGAAGTGTGGGAAAAGGGCCTGCTGCCTACACACCCATGGTAATAAAGCTTTATCAACAACATCTCTCTAGTGGTGCACACCTGTAATCCCAGTGGCTTGGGAGTCTGAGGCAGGAGGATTGGGAGTTCAAAGCCAGCCTCAGCAAAAGTGAAGCACTAAGCAACTCAATGAGACCCTCTCTCTAAATAAAATACAAAATAGTGCTGGGGATGTGGCTCAGTGGGTGAGTGCCCCTGAGTTCAATATGCAGTGCTCCCCCAACCCCATCACCAAAAAAAAAAAACAAAAAACAAAAAACTAACTTGAGCTCAAATCAGGGAAGTAGTCATTTTTTTCCAGAGTTTAAGATTTCCTACTTTCTCTCTTTGTTCAGTTTTACTAACTGCAAACTATAGAACAACATACATGTCAAAATAATTTTCCCTTAGCTGTAGTGACGAAACTCTTAGTTTCTACTCAACAAATCTCAAATAAAAACAGTTATAAAATATTTATGCAAATTTAATAATTCCTAAAAATTCTCTCAATTAATCATTAAATGTATGTCAATTAGAAGAAAAGGAAAAATGGAAGAAGCTGGGCCCAGTGGTGCATGCTTGTAATCCCAAGAACTCAGGAATTTAAGGCATGGGATTGTGAATCTGAATCATCCTAGTCAGCAACATAGTGAGAGACTCCATCTCAAAAAAAAAAAAGGATTCGGATGAGTTCAATTTCAGCAGAGCTACTTTTTAGAGAACGTTTACTATGTACCAAATATTATAATAGATATTTTAATACATGATTAATTTAATTATTATAAAGGTTCATGAATTAGGTATTACCCCATTTTATAAATAAAGGAGCAGAACCCTAGAGATGTTAAGAAATTTTCTTGAGGAAACTGAACAATCAGGATTAAACACCACCTTGATTACTAGACCCTCGGTTCTTAAAAATAATGCAACATGTGCTTCCTTTAATAAGACCTTTACTCAGATTTAGATGGGAAATCTGTGATCAACGTAATAATAGAAGTTCATGAATAATGGATTACCTGTGGTCCAGCAAAAATACTACTGAGAATCCAGGCCAGGCTGGTCATGGACTGTTCAAGCTTGCGGTTGTTTTGCACAGCTAGTGGTCTGGTGATAGCCAGGGAACGATCCAGGCTTATCACCACCATCATGAAAGCTGGGGCATACATGGAGAAAAGCTTCAGGTAGCTGAGGACTTTGCAGAGGAACTCTCCTGCATACCATTGGACTGTAATATTCCACATACCATCCAGTGGCATGACAATCAGAGTCTCCAACAAGTTGGCTAATGTCAAATGTTTTAAAAGCACCTTCATTCTGGAGAGTTTTTTCCCTTTTTCTTTCTTCTGAGTCCACTTCTGAAGTTTCAATAAGAAAGAAGCATTAAAGGTGGTGGAGAGTAGAAAAAGGCAGAAAGTCACTGTCACTCGAATCTTCCCAGATAAGGTCAGGGTAGGGAGGTTTTCCTGCATCAGTGAGATGCTGTTGTTGATGGCTGAACAGTGATTCTGATTCTGTTGAGGAGAGGCATTGTTTGCCATACTTCCCCAGTGATAAAGCTTCCAGACTTGTATTTCTGGTACTTCTGATATTTTATTATAGTTGAACCTAAAGTCCCCTTTTAATTGTGCCTTTTTGTTTTTTTAGATGGGAACATCACAGATTTAGATTTATGTCAAACTTTGTCCCTGAGATACTTTAGACTTAGTGTAAAAGATCAAGGTGAACTTGTTTTGTGGGTTTGTAATCCAACATAATACTAAAACAGAAGATTTAAAACACATTGTGAGGGCCAAATGTAACTGTACCACCTCAGCAGATGGCCTGGTTTTCACAACATTTTTTCCTAAGTGAAGCAGGATACTCACAGCCTAATTTTGAATTTAAAAGTTCCTCATAATATTACTAGAATATCTTTAATGAAGAGATTTTTAAAATGCTATTCACTTTTTTTGTTGTTCTGTTCAACATACAGGTGCAAAATGAAAATGAAGGAAAATACTAAAAAAAAAAAAAAAAAAAAAAAAAAACTTGATCCAGTTAACATTTGTTGTCTTAAGATTTGAATACATTTCTCAAAGATGTTTCTTTGTTTTGTTTTTCAAATATGCATTCTTGACTTTCAAGCACTAGGCATATATGTTAATTTAAACTATCCTATGCAAAACAAGAAATTACTACTTTTATAGAATCAATCTGAACAAATACAAATGAGGCTGTATTCAAATTTATCAATCAGTCTTTATGGTCAGATTATCCAAGCTTAAGTTAGTGTAAAAAGATTAACCATTTAAAAATTATTGCCTTGATTTTATAATTGTCTAAAGATTTTACTTAAATTATTATTATGGCACAAAGTTCCATAAAACAACTAGATATTGGCAAGAAGATTTGCATAAATACTGTACTATATTTATATATATACACATTTATGTTCCTTCTTATATAAATACATATACTTATATATGTATATATTTATGTTCCTTTACATTTTATCTGATCATTCCACATTGAGATTATTTAAAATCTTTCTCTGTGTTACTATTTTAACTTTCATGACGAATGCTTGATGATGTCACTTAGGAACATTGGACTGGTTTGATTTGAATACTTTATCAACTAGTTTGTTTCTGTGGGAGCTAAAGCAGGGATAAAGGTAACTTTTTTKTGTTTTTTTACTTAGATGGTCCATTTTACTTGGTTTATTTATTTATTTATTTTGTCTTATATTCACTTATTTAACAAAGAGTTACTAAATATCTACTACATATACTTTCTTAGCTTTTGTTGATTATAAAAAGTGAACACATCATTCAGGCCCTTCAGGAGTTTGTTTGGTACTAGAATAGGTTAGATGGGTATATCGGCCATGTCTGATGTGCCTCCTCAGCTTCCCTTTGCAATGACTGCTTCTTGGATCTTCAACAGCTTAGACCATTGCTTTGATTGTTACTATATGCCCAAAATTACTGGCTTTTTTCACTACTTTCAGACTTGGATGGAATTTGACTTCCCAAGTGACTTTCTGAAGGGTCTAGATATATTTTCTAATAAGAGTACTTTGGTTTTGAAATATATTATTTTGGAATAACTAGTGGGAGGAATGAATAAGTCAAAAACTATGAGAAATATACCTTTAAGAAAAATTTGACACATCTATTTTATCTATTTTTAAGCACAAATATACACAAGTATCAGTTGATTATCATTATTTTTCAGTTATATCAAGTCACCACAACACCRAATTAGTGAATATTGAATCATTGCTCCTATAGAAAATAAAGGGTTAGATTCCTGTACCCAGAACACCATTTGCATTATATATGATCATTTGCCAAAGTCTTATAAGCCAGTTTCATCAACATTGATAAATCTATTTCTCTGTTTCCCTGTATAACACTTAATAGGTATTTAAAAAATCCTTCCACAGTTGTAGAACCTGCCTTACTTATAAGTTTAATATTTTCTATACCATACTCAGTAAATTAAAGTATATTAGAAACATAAACTGTTCATAATATTAAAAATAGTATTTTATCCCAGAGATTCATACTAGCTTAAAGGATATTACTTTGTGAACCCTCAGGTATTGAGATTTTAGGGGAGAAAGTGAAATCATATTTATATCAGATTTCAAAGAGAGACTTTTTTCATTATATCATTATGTTTATTAACCACAAGAATAATAACAATGACATATACACTGGTGAAGACCCTGAAGCTAATTTGTAGAAAACAATKATTATAAAACTCAGGTCCTATCTTTGGAAGTTGCCCCATAAACACTATCATTTCTTTGGATAGCTCTCATTGGTGGGAGGTCCTGGTTATAACCTGAATTCCAGAGGAGCTTCAGGAGGGCAACACAATTGAGAAAGTAAGCTTAGGAGTTAAGGTACCTGGAAGGAGGATAATACACTAATTCTGTTAACCTTCGGTTTTACACTATAATTATATATAAAAGTGGGATTCATTGTGGTATATTTGTAAATGGGCATAGCATAATTTGATGCTCTTTTTACCCCAGTACTGCTGCATGTTCTCCCTCCTCACTCCTGCTCAATCCCTTTTCCTCTATTCTATTGGTTTCCCTTCTATTTTCATGAGATCACTTTTTTATTCATTTTGTTTAGAGAGATTTTTTATACCAAAGATTTGTGACCATAAAATTTGTACCTATTACATTAGCTATGATGGGTTCCTTATAACAAAACAGTCCTGATTTATTTTTATTAAGAAATCATGGGCTTTGCATATATATTATATCAGTTAATCTCATCAGGGCCATATGCTTGAAGCAAAACAAAACAAGGTAAACACTGGATAGATTTACAAGCTTGAAAAACTATCATGTGTAGGTGAGCAACCAAAAGAACAAAGGAAGAATGTTCATGGTAAAATCCAATTTTACTAAAGTATGTTTTGCCTTTTGTCATCTCCGTTTAGGCAAAGAAAAAATGAGCTTCATTATTATCTCCTTCGCTTTCCTTTGGTTTTCCTTTTTATCTTTTATTTTTCTCTCTCCTTTTCCTCAAAACMCAACTTATCAAGAATGACTGTGTCTATAACCACTGCCAAATGAGTAAAACAGAATTTTTTTTCATATTTTATTGGTATATAATAGTTGTACATAATGGTGAAATTTGTCATTACATATTAATGAATGCATAYAATTTAACAATATAATTTGTCCAATATCCTTCCCTAGCACTCCTCCCTCTCTCTTCTTCTACCCCTTGGTTCCTTTCCTCTATTCTACTGATATCCCTTTCTTTTTCATATGATTGCCCCCATCTTTCTTTTTCTTTTTCTTCTCTAGCTTTCACATATGAGATAAAACATTACCATTGACCTTCTGAGATTGGCTTATTTTGCATAACATAATGGTCTCCAAGTCTATCCATTTTTCTGCAAATGACATAATTTCATTTTTCTTTATGGCTGAATAAAACTCTCTCTCTCTCTCTCTCTCTCTATATATATATATATATAAAAAATATACATATGTACTACATATATATCACATTTTATTTATTCATTTATCTGTTGATGAATACTTAGGCTGGTTCCACAGTTTGGCTATTGTGAATTGTGCTGATATAAACATAGATATGCTTGTATCAATATAGTATGTTGACATTAATTCTTTAGGATAAATACCGAGGAGTGGTATAACTGGGTCATATGGTTGTTCTTAGTTTTTGAGGAAGCTCCATACTGATTTCCTTAGCGGTTATACTAATTTATAATCCTACCAACAATGTAAAAGTGTTCCTTTTTATTCATATCCTCTCTAGTATGTATTATTGTTTGTATTATTGATGATTGCCATTCTGACTGGTATGAGATGACATCTCAGGATAGTTTTGATTTGCATTTCTCTAATTGTAATGATATTGAATAAATTTTCATGTATTTGTTGACCATTTTGAGAAGTGTCTGTTTAATTCATTTGCCCATTTATTGATTTTTTGGTAGTTTTTTGGTTTGTCTATATATTCTATTTATTAATTCTCTATCAGAAGAGTAGCTAGAAAAGATTATTTCCTACTCTATAGGTTCTGTCTTCACATTATTGTTTCCCTTGCTGTGAAGAAGCTTTTTAATTTTATGCCATTCCATTTATTAACTCTTGGCATTATTTCCTAAGCTTTAGGGGTTCTATTGAGATAGTCCTTGCCTGTGCCTATTTGCTAGAGTGTTAACTCTGTTTTCTTCTAGGAGTTTTATGGTTTCTGGTCTAAGCCTTTGGTCTTTGATCCATTTTGAGTTGATTTTTGTGCAGAATGAGATATAAGGGTCAAGTCTTATTCTACATATGGATAATAAGTTTTCCCAGCACCATATGTTAAAGATGCTCTTTTCTCTAATGTACGTTTTTGGATTTTTGTCAAGGATCAGATCATTGTGTGGGTTTTTCTCTGTGCCTTCTGTTCTGTACTACTAATCTATGTGTTTGTTTTTATACCAGTACCATGCACTTTTTGTTACAATAGCTCTGTAGTATAATTWTAAGTCATGTATTATACCTCCTGAATTTTTTCTTTTGTATCAGGGATTGAACCCAGGAGCATTTAATCACTGACCCACATCCCCAGCCCCCTTTTATATTTTATTTTGAGACAGGATTGTGCTAAATTGCTTAGGGCTTCACTAAGTTGCTGAGGCTGGCTTTGAACTCATGATCCGCTTGTTTCAACTTCCCGAGCTGCTGGTATTTTGGTGGGTATTGCATCAAACCTGTATATCCCTTTTGGTAGTATGTCCATATTAACAATATTAATTCTGCCTATTTATGAATATGGGAGATTTTTTCATCTTCCCATTATTTCTCCTCCTCCTCCTCCTCCTCCTCCTCCTCCCCCTTTTTCTTCTTCATGTTCTATACTTTTCATTGTAGAGTTTTTTTCACCTCTTTGGTGGATTTATCCCTATGTGTTTTATTTCATTTTTTGAAGCTATTGTGAATGGGATTATTTTCCTGATTTCTTTATCAGCAGATTCATTACTGGTATATAGGAAAGCTGTTGATTTTTGTATGTTGATTTTGTAATCTGCTA